ACAAAGGCGTAGTTTGATGAGTGTGGAATCATGGGAGTTGTCGTCTTCATCCCCACAGCCGATGTAATCCGACGGGACTCTGGCAGAAATCATGTTCATGGATGAGCTAATGATTTATTAACGTAGTAGAATGAAGCAGGGTGAGGCTGAAAGCCGTCGAAGCGAAACGAGGCCGCTGAACGAGCTCGAAAGCAGCGGAGCTTTTATTATGCCATAGTCGACTGCTTCCTCTCCTTCCGGTCGCGCATATATGGGGGAAAAAAAGCAGCGCTGTTTAATCATACTAGATACATTTGAAAGTTCTGTTATAATGCTACTCTGTGCGGTCGTCACCGGTTATAATGCTACTCTGTGCGGTTGTCACCGGTCTATTAAAACGAACAACATGTTTTCTACAAAACAAAACCGGAAATCGAGGGGTTATGATGTCATTGGCAGGCGACACAATGACACTATGGACACGGTCCGTGTCACTAGTTAAAATTGCTTATTTCTCTGGATTTAAACATTCTTCGAAACATTTGGGATAATGTAAGTACACAAGTCAGCAAAATATATTACACTGTTCTAATGGTTTTTGGATATTTTAATAAAAAAATCTTAAAAACATATGCCTTTAAGAGATGAGATAAAAGGTCTACATTTTGAGATAAGATGTCACAATTATGAGATAAAAATACATAATTATTGCACAAAAAGTCCAAATTTGAGAATAAGTAATAATTATGTAATTATAATTACTTCAAATGTGACTTTTGATGTCATAATTATGACTTTTATGTCATAATTCTTACTTTTTGTTTAATAATTTTGACTTTCTCATCATGATGTCATAATTTTGACGTTTTCTTATAATTGTCAATTTCAATTACTTAGTATCTCCTAAATTTGACTTTTTATCTCATAATTATTTTTTTATTTTGTGTCAGAAATGGGATTTCATTCAAAAGAATGTCAAGATCACAAATATTATGTAAATGGTTAACACATAATCCATATGTAGCCATCTATAGCAGTAAGCCTATTGAACTGTAACATATTGCAGCCTCTGCACATGATATAATTTCTGAAAGTAAAACTCCTCAATAAGGAACAAGGTTATTCAAAGACACCAGCAGAGGTCATACGGATATGCTTTCATTCTTCATTATGAGCTCTGAGTGGAGAGTATTAGAGTGTTATATTAACATTCAGAAGAGAGTCAGCTGTGCAAAATGGGAATTAGTTAAAACTTTGCTCATCATATTAATTATTTTCCAATATTCATATATTAACAGCAGATAATTTGACTGGCCTCAAGGTCATTGGTCAACACAAGGTCAAACCAAAACCTGCCATTGTCTTTAATGTCATGTTTCCATAGTAGCCTATATTTTTACATAAACAGAACTATGCGGTATGTGGCATGAATTATGTTAGTTTTGAATTAAGTTTCCTCTTTTTAACCTGAAGTGACTGCTGTCTTTTGTGAGGATGCAAATACACTCTGTTACAAATAGCTTGCTATGATTGTTGCTTTTACAATAGATTGTTTTTTTATAAATCATTATGTTATTTCACTGTTTGTACTAGTACTTTATGGAAGAAGGTGTACTGTACTATCCATCAAAAAAAAAAAAAGATTCTATTAGATTATGTTCACATGGATTTTTAAAGAGTTTATGATCAGTATACTGTAAAAGTGTGCTTGAATAATTCATTTAAGACAAACATGTATTAATAGAGCATTTTCTGGCAGAAAACCAATACAAAGCATTGTTCTGGAGATGTTGTTTAATATTTAATGTTGCGGTCAGTTAAAAATATCTTCAGGTTTTCCATTGGAGCCTATTAAAAGTGTTTTACTGACAAACAAATTTGTGAATTATTTGTGTTGAAAGAACTTAATAATGAACTGATTAATTGTTGTCCTTATATATAAGATTTAAAATACCATCACTATCTCAACCTCAGTTATTATTATAATAACTTAGCCTACAAATTGATCATGGGATTTCTCTGAGAACGTTGCCTACACTGGAGTAAAAAACTACAAAATATCTCCCCCCCCCCATGATTTAATGTACACGTTTACATTTGTGACTTTTCTGATTATCAATGCTGATTCAGTTGCACAAAATAAAGACTGGCTCCTTTTGCACCAGCGATTGCAGGCCTCAGCAATTACAGAATTATCATCTTCTTAATTAGTCTTTTGTTGTGGAGGCAAGGGGTGTGAAGCTTATATTGGAACAGACATTATAAAGCACTCTTCTACAGACTAATGAATTTATATTCAGGAAGGAGGGAAGGGTTTCTTTTTTGAGGCACAAAAGATCAATCTTTTTTTTCATTATTAGCATATATCATTAGCATATAACCAGGGTTTAAATTGGGCCGGGGCTGACTCCAGGTAGGGCTCGACATTAACGCTTCATTAACGCCAGACAAGTAACATGATTAAAACATCAGCAACCAAAAATAACTATGTAAACACCAAAACGCAAGTATTATTCTGATTTTATTACATTTAGAGTAAGTGGCGAATAGTGGATATAGCTACTGTATATTAGAAATCAAAACGCGCAACACTAAGAAACTTTCAAAATGGAAAATGGTAAAAATTCAAAATGGAAAGTTTTTATATTTAAAATACAGTTAGTTAGGCAACATCACACAACGTTTTCACCATCACGACTGTTTAATAGTTCTATAAACAGTTCTATAAACAGTTCAATAAGCAAATACAATAATATTAGGTCACTACATTTTAGGCGGAAACAGCGCATCTGACAGCAACCAGCCGATTCATTGCTGATTGATTCCGTGTTTTGAACGAATCGGTTGGGTCAAAGTTTCATTAGCCCATGCATAAACATCTAATGAATCTGCCGTTTGAACGAATCGTTTGAATGAACGACTCAATTACTCACTCATTAAACGCTCTCTACTGGCACCTACTGGCGTTTTAATTTCGTTGCAAAGTATCATTTCCGCCATAATTTCTTGTTTGTATATTCAAAATTATTTTAAATAATCTCATAATATTATTTAATGCAGTTGTATTTTTCAGTGTAAATTATTTAA